TGTATTTATTCGCAGCACCTACTTAGAAAGTTGTATGTGACACGAGATAAATTACTCAAAGTGTATTTTCTTTGTGTGAAGAAAATCCAAAACCCAAACCTGAAGGTACAAGGACACCCTGTAAACTGGAGTGGTGATTCTTGCGTTTTGTTGATAATAGATTTTCCCCCCAAATTTTGGCTGAATACACTAAATTCTAAAAATAATAAAAAATTAAAATATTTGTTCTATTTTTGTTCTTACTTGTTACGCCCAGTCTAGGGGCACCTGAACGCAACATGAATGCTTCTCCGGTCCCAAGCAGCCACACCACAGCAGTTTTACCAAGAAAAAAACAATCATTTATTTGTAATAGATGTAAGATTAAAAAAAAGGGGATGATTAACTTAAAATAAGAGTGAGCTCTATTGAAAACAACAACCAAACCGACACTAAACTAGGGGAGATTCGACTTGCCCATCAAAATAAAAGCATCGAAAGTAAACACAAAGTCTGGCCTCCTTATCTAACATAAACAGGAGAAACAAAAAAGGTAGCAGCTCACTCTATTCATACAGCGTCTACAATACACAAGAACGATAAGGTGGTGGTGAGGAACAGCTCCGCCTCTCTGAACCTCACTCTGCTCACTGGCAAAGTCCTGCCTCCATATTTAAGACCAGAACTTGATCAACCAATCCGGTCGTCGCTACGGCACAGCTCTATTTACATATTTAATGGAATCATAATGGTCTCACACAGATCAAAGGGAAACAATATTCTATAAACAAATATCACCACAGTCGTAACATTACTATAGTAAAAATCTAAACTCCTACAAATCTGGACTTCTTTGTGTTGTCAGCTCAACAACAAGCTGATAAAACAATATTAAGAGCACTCCATTTACGTAGCATTTTCATACCACAATAATACTGTCAGACTCTAAATTGATTCAGCAGAACCAGACGTATTTTTATTTTGTGCATTAACCACAACTCCACTGGTGGCAGTTCGTCCAGAGACTCAGGTGTGTTATGCTCGATTATAATATATCATCCGACCTTAAGAACAACCTCAAACTAACTAGCACCCACTAACATGAAGGAATTTTGCCAGCACGAAACCAAATCTGTCCAGTATGGTGTCGTACTGCATGACCTGCACACTTCACTACTGATC